ATTCTAATAGCTATAATGTTGCCGTGTGTGTAATGCAAAGAAACGTGTCGGAAGCGTGATCAATTTCCGCCTTTAAGTTCCTTGCAGGTTGATGAAATTCACAGTCATTATGTGTTGGTTGCAAACAGAAAGTGAGTGAAGGTTTCCATATGAGTGGTGGATAAAGTTGCCCACCCTTTCCCAGTAACACGGGTGAGATCACAGTTAATGTGAACCGGGAAGACTGTGGGAGTTTAATATTACGTAATCGTCTGTTTTAGAAATACTATTAGGGATATATCACAGTACATTTCCATCATATTTTTTTCTCTCTCGCTATGATAATATTGAATGCAAAGCTCACATACACGCTTGTAAATCAACCCGTGCTGTGTTTTCACATAGTTCAGTAATTGAAAGTCAGATCGTCGCTGAATGAGATTCGGGCCTGGCGGTGCGGGCGCTCAAGGGTGTCGCATTTTTTTTCTTTCGGAAATGTCATGTGGTGAAGTTGTGGCGGGATGAGAGATTTTCCAGGAAGAACATTGGATTTTTTTTTTCTGTTTTCTCTTCCTCTCTTCTGCTGACTACACGTCGCCGCCCCCTTTTCCCCCTCGTGTGTTTTCTAAGTGTGACCGCATGGTGGCGCTGCCGCACCGCTAAAGCTTATCCTCTCAGACTCAGCGCTTTGATGGCGACGGTTAGTCCTCAATTAATCCCTTTCTTTTACTGTCTATGATTAATCCCCCCAAATTAAGTTTTGCACATAATGAAATGAATAGAGCTATTTGATAAATATATTTAAAACCATTTACACTTATTATTTAGGGATGTAACAATATATCGTGTCACAATATATCGCAATACAAAAATGCAACTATATGTATCGGGGATAGTGACAATATGTATTGTGTATAGTTCACCCAAAATGAAAATTACTGTGTGAGAAAAAAAAATCAAGTTTACAAAGTTGTAGCGTGTCAGTACTACATTTAACTAGTATATAATGTTGAATATAATGTATAATAATGCAATGGGGGAATATTTTGTGGGTCCTGATAATGCCATATGTCTTATGTTACCAGTAAATAGTAGCCTACATTATTTTAAATATATCTAGTCAGTGACAGGGTGCAAGCATATTCGTCTAAAATAATTCAGTATTTTCAGCTTCAGAATCATGAATATTTGTATTCTGGTGTCACTATTGTCCTGTGCATTGGGTTATTAGCGCCAAGTCCAAGCCTATTCAATTACACCCCAATGTAATATAGTTTAGACACCCACAAATTTAGCATTTTAATCAACAGTACATTATATGTTAACCTTTAACCATATGTCTAAGAGTATTGCAATAATATCGTATCGTGAGTTCAGTATCGTGATATGTATCGAATCGTGACATGAGGGTATCGTTACACCCCAATTATTATTATTATTGTTTACTCTCCAAATCCTCTGCTCTCAGCCAAAAACAAACTCAAGCATATTTAGTTTTCAGATCTTTCAGACCATCTTGGGTTCAATGGTCAGATATAACAAAAAAAAGCGAGCTTTTTGGCATCCAACACAACAGATAGGTTTAATGCACACAGAGATAACAATAAAGTACCCCATATTAGGGGTGTGCATCGCCACTGGTCTCACGATTCAATTCAATTACGATTATCATGTCAACGATTCGATTCGATATCACGATGCGCTGCATCCTCACGTTTCAATATTACACATGCCTACATTTTCATCAATGAATACAAGCAGTCAGATGTATATGAACTCCCTTTTCATTTGATCTGCTCCAAGAGAGTGCTTCCCGAATGTGGCAAACATCAAACACAACTTGAGTCTGAACACAGCAGACGACAGGACCATTTAGAACAAACACGAGGAAATACTAAAAGCGCATGAAACTGTCAGGTGTACTTGTAACAATAACGCGCTCGCAGCCTCGTAAATGTTAAACTAGTGGGTGCATTTTGTATTACTCGCTTTTGTGTTTCGCCTCCCTCCGTCATTTTACGCTAGCGAGAGAAGCGCGCATGTGACGAATAACGTCAGAGAAATGTCAGTAGGCTATAATCTATTATGGTCTATTACTGCATCGATGCAGAGTTGTTCACATTCGCATTGTGATGCAATGATTCATTTCAACACCCCTGCCCCATATGTACAATTAAATATAGGCTACTGATGTCGTGGGCCTATTTCCCTGCCGGAGGTCCTGGACATCTTGTTCAGATAAATGGCATCACGGAATCAAATAGCAACAGATAATAATAAAAATCAAAACCTGACTGCATCTGCTAGACATCTTATTATGGGACTTGTTTGGAAAGTCCATCAGGACAACGATCCAAAACAAACATCAAAATCAACACAAAAAATGGGTCTCTGAGCACAAAATGAAGGGTCTGCCATGACCGTCCCAGTCCCCTGGCCTGAACCCTATTAAAAAAACGTAGAAAAGTGTTTTAACGTGGATTTGGGAAATTGGAGGATCATAACAGATTCAGTATGAGGACTGATCTCTTCTCTAAACTCATCAGGCATTATAGGAGAAGACTCAGAGCTGCCTGTTATCTTGGCAAAAGGAGGTTGCAAAAAAAGTATTGAATAAAAGAGTGCCGTTAATTGTCGCCAATTACAGAAAAACATTTCATTTAAGAGATTTCCCCCCATTTTCATTTGTTTTACCTCAATGAAAGGTTAGGTTTTTGGGGTTTTTTTGTTTTTTTTTAAGTGTGTTAAATTTTCATATTTGCCAAGGGTGCCAATCATTTTGACCACTACTGTCTTTAAAATAACGGTGGCTTTAATAAACTCATGCTGGGGCTCAGCATGAATAGATTCAGTTTGTGTGCCGACTCTGAACTTCACATAGCAAGAACACACAGAGGTCACAGCCAACACACTAATACTGAATACAAACGACAGCCGTTATTATGTGTGGAAATGAGGCAGAAAATAGAAACAAACAGCTTTGCTGTGGAGGGCCAGCGGTTACTAAACAAACGTCATGCATCCAGGCCTGTAGGTGTCAGTGTAACGTCTAAACCACTGGTGCTTATAGGACGGATAAGATAAAGCTAAAATAAAAACCTTCTAATGTAAAATTAAAATAACTTGCAAAATCATTCATTATAATTCTTCACTACAGACTTGGTTTCCACTCACTGATCTCTATATTTAGATTATAGATGTATTATATGATACTAACTGTATTATAGTTGCGACTTGCAAGACTAGAGCTGAATGACTAATCATTAAAAGACCTCGATTCGAACACCAGGGCAAATCGTGGCGCTTAAATAAAGATTGTATCAATTACATAGTTACACCAGTAGAGGAGACATGTGACTGTCAAAAAACAAATTTGTCATTGAATCATTCATTCAAGTGATTCGTTCAAAAATACTGATTCATCCAGTAATCAAACAAGCAAGTGAAGTCTTTATGAGTGAGTCATTGAATCATCCATTCGAAACGATTAAAAACACTGCAGCAATTAACATTTTGTCAGAACCTCTAGTAAATGACGTGTTATTGTGTAGTTGGGAGAATTGTGCAGCTCTAATTTCACTGTTGAATTTCACCATGGACATTTTGAAGGGGGGAAAAATTTTAAATTTGCATAAAATTTGCATAAAAAACTAAACCCGTCTCTTGCATCTACAAGGCACAGTGATTTGTCTTACATTGCTCGTACTTGCTACGTGAACTCCATCTAACAACACATTTTAGTCATGCATGTGATGTGTCTCGTATTAGACACTTGTTCACTTTATATGTATCTTACATTGCACATGTATGTTGTCTGAAGTCATTATTGTGAGCTGTAGAGAAACAACATAATGACTTCTGTTATTACTTGAATTATTGTTTCTGCTCAGTTATGAGGTTTAAGCTGAACTCCACTCCTCATCCCTACTGTTTAAAACGTTGCTTTGCCTAGTTCAGCATCACTATTTCTTTTTTCTATTTGCATTTCAGGAACAGATCTGTGTTGTTTGTCCACTAGATGGCAGCACATGCTCAGAAAACGAAGGTTGTTGTTCAGATTCCTTTGTGTTCGCAGTTAAAAACTCCTTGAGACAAACAAAACATGCCAGTACTGATGATCATCTGAGCATTAATGTTGCTTCTGTTTGTGCACTGGTTCTCAACTAGTGGGTCATGTGACACGTTCTGATGTGCTTGTGGACAGCAGGGGAAAACAGTGTTTAATGCAAATAAACTATGATAGCAACATAAATAGGCTTATTAAAGGGAGAATATTTGTTAGTCACGTTAAAGTCAAAGTGTCCAATAAATCGCTCCGGTTTTGGTGCAAATTCAGTTGAAATACCAATACAGGTCGGAACTCGAAAAATTATAATATCGTGCAAAAGTTCATTTATTTCAGTAATTCAACTTGAAAAGGTGAAACTAATATATTATATAGACTCATTACATGCAAAGTGAGATATTTCAAGCCTTTATTTGTTATAAATTTGATGATTATGGCTTACAGATATGAAAACCTTTTCACAAAGTTGGGGTTTTCATAAGCTATAATCCATAATCATCAAAATTATAACAAATAAAGGCTTGAAATATCACACTTTGCATGTAATGAGTCTATATAATATATTAGTTTCACCTTTTAAAGTTGAATTACTGAAATAAATTAACTTTTGCACGATGTTATAATTTTTCGGGTTTCACCTGTATGTACATCCTCAAATTATGATCAAGATCAAATTATTAAATACCTGCAATAGCTGACCACAACACGTTTTGTGCAGTGAGTTGTTTAAAAGCATGACACCATCAAAATTCAATTTTATACAAGAAACAATTTGCTACTGTATTGTCCGACGCCTCTTGGTGTCCAGTGAAAATCTAAAGGCAGACTATAATGTTAATTTATGCTTTTTTGTGGTTGTATTCGTGACTTATGAAGTCCTCAGGTTTTTATAATTAACAACAACACAAAGCAAGTGTTTTTTTTTTAATAACAACATTATGTTGTTCTCCTCCAGGGTTTACGGTTTCACCATGGCTGAGGTTTGGCTGGCCGACGTGAGCGTCAGTCTGGATGAGTCTCACAGATCCAATGAAACTCTCAGTGCCATTTACCTGCCAATGGGAGAGGACGATCCAGACACACTTCATGTGGACCAATGGGGTGGCTGGATTCATCTGTGGCGGAGAGGTCAGAGGTCAGTTGGCATGAACTTGTTGAAGATTAATACACAAAGTAGATCACTGTGTTAATCACTGTTGTGTTTCTGCCAGGATGTTATTAAATATTTGTTGGTGGCGTGATGCTATATTTAGATGCGGATAATAATTTGTACTTTTATTTTGAAAAATTATATTTAATGAAAAAAGTATTTTAAGTTCTGTCATCTTAATCATTTTAATCTGTGCTTCTGTAAAAACGAACAAAATCACAGCATCAAAAATGTGTGTCGGTACCATTTTTTATGTTTTTGAAAAGTCTCTTATGTTCACTATGGCTATAAATACAGTAAATCAGTGATATTGTGAAATATTATTATTCAAAGTATTATTTTTCTATTTAAATATATTGTAAAATATATTTACGACATATTTACGAATATACAACGAAATATAACGAATTTATTCATGCGATTCAAAGCTGTATTTTCAGTGTCACGTGATCCTTCAAAAATCATATGCGGATTTGCTGCTCAAATAACGTTTATTATTATTATTATTATTATGAATGTTAAAAACAGTTGTGCTGCTTCTTGATGCATTGTTTTCAGGATTCTTTGACAAATAGAAAGTTTAAAAGAAAATCTTTAAAACAGTAATCTTTTGTAACATTATAAATGCTTTTCCTGTCACATTTTATTAATTTGATGAATAAAATTATTTATTTATTTCAAAAAAGACAAATAAATTCTAACTGACCCCAAACTTTAGTTTATGTACATAGCAAAACAAGTCAAATGTTAAAAATCTTCAGCTGTCACGTTGTTTAAAAAAGCCTAAAGAATATATTTAACAGTATGAGACTGAATAAATCGCTTGCCTAATCTATGCAAATTATATCCAGTTTTTCAGCTTTAGTCATGAACGGGTGAAGTAAACTGGCTACTTTTACTTTTACATGAAATAGATGTGATGCAAGTAAACGTTAAGCAGTGATTACTGGAGCAAACCACAGGAATCCACAACCAGTTCATCCGCCTGGATAATGAGTCGCACCTTAAAGGGAGAGTTCACCCAAAAATGTCAATTATTTCATCATTTACTCGCCCTCAAGTTGTTCCAAACCTGTATATACCCGAGTGTCTTTCTTCTGCTGAACACAAAAGATGATATTTTAAAGAACAGACAGTTGACATTAGCCATTGACTTCCATTACATTACTTGTGGTAATTGACAGACGGATCTAGATGCTGTTCAACCTGTAATATTACATTCAGTGTCCTTTTTAGTGGTTTAAAAGGAGTAATTAATGATACTGGTGCTTAAAAATGAATCCAAAAAAGTAATCACATGACCAACAGTAGTGATATGGGACAACCAAAATATGAATGTAATTGATTGTGAAGTGAAATTGAGCAAATGATTTTGAGGAATTGAGTGTTATATGAGGGTCATTCAGTGTGTGTGTGTGTGTGTGTGTGTGTGGACTCAGTATTTTATATGATGGTGTTGTTGTGCAGCGCTGGAGATGTTGATGATAGACTCATGGCTTTTAGCCTTATTTCCGCCAGTGTTGTGCCATGATCAGAGGAGAGCTGAGACCGTTCGTGAACCTCTCGGCTGCTTCTCATTGGCTGGTGGTGTGAGAGGTCTCTAAGTGCAGTCTGGGATTTGAATTACAGTGATTGATTTATTTAATGATGTAAACCATGCAAAGAGCTCCCATGGATTCCTGTTCTGCAGTGTCTGTCTGCCCCACTCGAATGTGATGGACACACACACACACACATGCAAACAGTGCTTTGTTTTAAATGAAAAAGCTGCAGATGTGATGTAAAGAACAGGATTGATTGAATAAGAAATAGATGAGAGGAACATAGAGACGTTACTGCTGAAAGGGCACACACACTCTGCATTGTTTTGAGAAGGACAACACATTTAAAGAGAGTCTATTGTGCTTTTTTTTTTACATGCTCAACTTTCTTTAGTGTGTAATGCTGCTGTTTGAGAATGAAAAAGGCCTGCAAAGTTACAAAGCAAAGGGAGTTATTCCCTATATCAGTGTCAGTGTTTCTGAACTCCCTGAAACGCCTCCATTGTAGTCTTGAGTTTTCTTCCGGGAACACGTCACAATATTCCTCATTTAAATAATTCCCGCTCAAGGCATACGCAGAATAAAGGGACGAGGCCGGGTTGGGTTAGTTAGTAGTGTGTTGAAACTCGTGGTTATTGTAAGGGGCGTGGCTTTTCCCAAACACACTCGAAGCGCTTGACCAATCACAACACACTGGTCCAGCCGACCAATCAGAGCACACTGTGCTTTTCAGAAGGAGGGGCTTCATAGAGACAGGAACTAAACAGAGGTGTGTTTCCCAAAAGCATCGATAGCCAACTATGGCCGCAAGTTCTGTCGTTATCAGCGTAGTTCAACGGGTCTGAGTTTCCCGAAAACATGTTCCAACAAACATTCGCAAACAACATCGCAAAGTTGTGTGGTTGGATCGACAGCTCTCGACCTGTGTTTAGAAGCATAGTGTCTTGTTTGCATGACATTTGTACTTCATAAATCCTTATCGTGAGCAAAATAACAAGCTAGCTGACATTCAGTACAATCTATATCTTTGGTTTAGAATACATACAAATGTCATTTATGTCTTTTAGCTTGTCAAGAGATTTAAAGCACTGTTCTTGAAGAGTGTGCATGTGTGTACGTGGCTACGTGCTCTAGTGTGTAATAGGGCTGCAACGATTAGTCGACGTTGTCGACAACGTCGACAATAAAAATTTGTCGACAAATATCTTTGTTGTCGAGTAGTCGTTTGATCTCACGTGACCTAATGTAAGGGCCTGCAATCCCGCGATTTGACCGCTACGGCGCTGTAGCGCTAGAGTGTAGTGCAGCCCTTACAAATGCTATTGCGGTAGAAGAGAAAACAGCGCGAATTATGACAGTGCAAACGAATCCGAACTAGCAAGGTTTAGGTTTGGGAAAGTTTCACAAAACTTCAAATCAAGAATGCTGTCGTGTGCAATTTTCACGGGAGCACAACATGCATGTTGGAGTGCAAGAGGACACATCCCGGCAAAAGAGGAGCCGGTGAGAAGTGAGTGTTCTCCAGCTGGAGCTTACTAACCAGCGCCAACATGACAGGGTAAATCTCTCTTTATTAGAGAATGCAATACTACTAATAATAGTAATAATATTATCAATAGTAATATAATTACAGTAATGTGATGACTTATTTTGTATAGAATAAAGCTTGATCGAGCTTAGGAGTCAGGGCTGTTTTTATTATTGTAACACTATTAGTATATTAGGTATTATTATAGTCTTATCACTTGCCTGTATTTTGTTCAATAATCATGAAGACTTACAAAACGAGATGTTATATCCTTCCTATGATATAGGAAGAATATCATGGCAGTTACTTTTTCATACTATAAATTAAAAGGTGAATGAGAACGTCTCTGTCAGCTCAATTGTCATGTAAAAAAAGATTGTAATTTTATAATTATAATAATTGTTTGCAGATTAATATTTTACCATTCTTTGTGTCCTGAAGTAAATGTCCCTTTTTCTGTTTCAGTTCTAAGAAAAGCAGTGGGCCTATTAAACAATGCTTAGAGAGCATTTGTGTGTGATTTGAGTTGGACCGAAATCTGAAAACTTAAAGAGAATGACCTGTTTAGTTGGCTCAAAGTTCATTAAAACAACTATTTCAAAAGCTGAAGTGATTTTCTTTTTTATATTATAGTTAGAATATGTATAACTCAATGTTTTAAATAATTGAAAAAGCTGAATAATCGTTCCAAACTTACTGATTAGTCTGCGAAATAATCAATGATTAATCGTTCTAATAATCGTTAGATTAATCGATTATCAAAATAATCGTTTGTTGCAGCCCTAGTGTGTAAGAACGAGCCTATGATTGAATCTGGAAATAAAGCAAAACAACTGAGAAAAATGAGAAATAGTTCACAGATGCCATGTCTGTAATTTATAGCAAAACATCCAGCATTAATTCGATCTCAAACAGATTTATTAAAAGTAGTTATTACTCCATCACGTGCGTGACGTCATAAACCAACGTGGTTGAAGTTGAACTACAAATTTGCGACAATAGGTTTCGGGAAATAGGTTTCGTGACTAGCTAGTGGATTTCTTCAATGATGCATCGTACTATAGTAGTGAAGCAGAGCGTTACTGACAGACTGGGAAGAGAGGAGCTGCAACAATGGAGAATATGTGAAAAACAAGGTGTTTTTGAACTTTCAAGCATGAAAACCTGTTCCAGTAGACTTCAACAAAAAAAGAAAATCAAGACTTTGAAGAAGTGCATAATTGGTCCTCTTTAAAGGGATAGTTCAACCCAAACAGAAAATGCTGCAATCATTTACTCATCCTCGAGGTGTTTCAAACCTGCATGACTTTTCTTCTTCTGTGGAACACAAACGAAGGTATTTTGACAGTTTGTCCAAGTCAGTGGCATCCCAAAAAAATCAAATGTATGTACATTTTTTTAAAATATCTTCTTTTGTATTTAATGGAAGAAACAAGTCATACAGGTTTGGAATGACACGAGTGTGAATGACGACAGAATATTAATTTTTGAGTGAACTATCCCTTTTAAATCTCTACGTGATTAACCTAAATTACCAGCTTCTATTGTTTATTCCAAAAGTTGCAAATGAGTTTGCTTAACATTAAACAGTGAGCTCAAAAACCTTGTTTGGTATAAAGAAACCAGTGCCAGAAGTGGCAAGACCAGTAATTATTCGCTTATCTGTTAAAAGTACCAGGACGGATATAGTGTGCTTTCACAAACATCACTGTCACCAGGCAATGACTGTCAGCCACACAAGCCAATGTTTTGACTATCAGTAGTACATTTGGAGCATGTTGTAGCTTAATCTGGCCAAGAAGCATCCGTTATGAGACTGTCTGACTGACATCAAATCAAATTGATACATGAAATATTAAACTAAGTTTTTTTTTGTTTTTTTTTTTTTTTGAGCAAAACACGAACAATCAATCACA